CGTTGAGCAAGCGTCCTACCGCCTATATGGGAAGCACAGTAACCAGAGTGAAGATCGTCTAGTATCTCTCGTCCCTTTTCTGGAGTAACACACTTTAAGAAGGGTTGAAGGTACCCCCTTTTGTGAAGTTCTCCCTTTATTATTTCAAAACTGGTTGCTCGTTTTTTCAGTGCTGTCGCCTGTTGATGATCATCCGGCAGGGTACCATTTGCCAGATATGCCTGATTGGATCCATCCAGGTTGAGCTTCTGTCTAGGATTCCAATAGGGTCTTCCTCGATGCTTCTCTTCTCCATTACTTCCCAAAAAACAGTTCGAGGAGTATCATAGGAGGCGGATGATGCTAATTTTGACAGTGCATCCGCCTGGATGTTTTCTGATCTCGGCACTTGGATCAGATGGAAATCCTCAAGGGAGCCGACTGCTTGTCGTACCGCCTGTAAATACTTGATCATGGCCGGATAGGTTGCTTCATATTTGCCATTGTACTGACTCACTATCAATTGTGAATCGGAACAGGCGTCTATTTTTCTTGCCCCTGCCGCCTAGCACATGCGGATTCCGGCTAGTAAAGCTTCATATTCTGCCTCATTGTTTGAGGCCTGAAAACTGAAGCGTAGAGCATACTCGTACTTGTCGCCCTCTGGCGACTGACATATGACGCCTGCTCCACAACCATTTGAAGTAGAGCTTCCGTCCACATATACCTTCCAGACTTGGTCTGGAACTTGAGAGTCAGGAGGACGAGTCATCTCAACAATAAAGTCAGCAAAGGCTTGCCCCTTCACTGCTTTTCTAGGCTCGAAAGTAACTTCGAGGCTCTGTATTTCTATGGCCCATTTGATCATTCGGCCTGACGACTCCATGATGGTCAATGGCCGCTTGATAGGTTGGTCTGTATACACGACGACTACATGGGCCAAAAAGTAGGGCTTTAATTTTTTAACAGTCATGAAGAGTGCAAGACCAAATTTCTCCACTAGGGGATACCTCAACTCGGCATTTTTCAGTATATGACTGACAAAGTAGACCGGGAGCTGACAGTCGTCTCTTTCAGCAAGGAGAACAGCGCTTAACGCATGATCAGAGACGGCCAGGTACATGTAGAGCACTTCTTTGGGCAAAGGGCTGACCATCCTCGGCAAGGAATGCAAGTGAACTTTCAATTTCTGAAAGGCCGCCTCGGCATCCGGCCCCCATTCAAACCTTGCCTTTTTCTTAATTGCCTGGAAAAAGTATAAGCATTTGTCGCCTGATCGGCTTAGAAATCTTCCCAAGGCCGCCAGACAACCTGTTAACTTCTGAACCTCTCGGATGGTACGAGGCGACTGCATGTCAATGACCGCCTGCACCTTCTCAGGGTTCGCCTCTATTCCTCTCTGATTGATAAGGAATCCGAGAAATTTCCCAGACTCAACTCCAAAGACACATTTCTTGGGATTGAGCATGACATGGTGCCGCCTGAGTGTGGCGAAAGTTTCTCGGAGGTCCGACAGATGATCTTTCTGAAGTTTAGTCTTGACAATCATATCATCAATGTATGCCTCGACGTTTCTCCCAATCTGATCAAAGAACACAGTGTTTATCATTCGCTGGAAGGTAGCCGGGGCATTCTTAAGACCAAACGGCATGACCGTGTAACAGTATAACCCCTGATCAGTGACGAAGGCCGTCTTCTCCTAATCTTTCTTCCATAAAGGAATTTGATGGAAACCAGAGTAGGCGTCCATAAAGCTCATCAAAGCATGGCCGGCTGTTGAGTCCACCAGGTTATCAATTTTAGGCAGAGGGTAACTGTCTTTGGGGCACGCCTTGTTTAAGTCTGTGTAGTCTACACACATTCGCCAGGTGCCATTCGGCTTTTTAATAAGCACGACATTTGCAACCCAGTCTGGGAAGTAACATTGCCGAATGAACCCTGCATCAAGTAATTTTTTAACTTCGGCGGCTGCCGCCTGACTTCTTTCTTCGCCATGGTTCCGCTTCTTCTGCCGTACCGGCTTCTTTTTCGGATCCACGGCTAGTTTATGTACCGCCAGATCAGGACTAATGCCTGGCATTTCATGGACTTCGAATGCAAAGATGTCCTTGTATTCTTTCAATAGTTTGTGAAAGTCGTCACCAAGGTCTCTCAGAGCAGTCATCCCAACTTTGACTGTTCGCTCAGGACGTGAGTCGTCTAAGATCAAGTCCGTATGCTCACCAGCCGGCTGAGGGCGGAATTAATCCGACCGCTCCTCTGCCAATGATTGCTATTTTTTGTCTTTTCTTGCAGCCCCTGTCTGGGATGCCTTTCTCTTCTTGCCGCCTGCTTCTTGAACAGGCGCACTCTCCTTGACTTTGTCAAGGTCTGTTTTTCCACCAGTCGACCCAGTGGCCATAACAGTGGGCTTGACATCCGAGAGATAGCACTCTCGGGCCATCCTCTTATCTCCCCTTAGGGAGCCGACTGTTCCATTATCCCTCTCAAACTTGAGCAACATAAGAGATGGGATTATAACAGCCTTGGAATTATTCAGGGTTGGAGGTGAATAAGTAAGCAAGCGTCCTGAAGCTATTTACACAACCAGTCGGCAGGTTGCCGAACCATTGTTGTGCGATTCCTTTGAGAGTCGCTGGGAAACACTTGCACCAAGTGGGATCATCCAACCCTTTAAGGTACATCAGGTTGGTGAAGGCCATAAGATGGTCTTCTGGGTTAGTAGTGCCGTCATAGGCGCCTACTAATACATTTTTCACTTTGGCCAGCTGAGCGGCTTCAGTAATTTCCTTGGAGAAGGCCGACGGCTGTTCACCAAGTCTAAGCAACCGAAGCTGCCAGTCCATAGGTTGGACATTTTTTGCTGCATGACCACCAAACGGAGGTGGCTGTAAAAAATACTGTTGTTGCGGCACAAACGGTAAGTTTGGTACCGCCTGGTCGCTATGAAAGCCGGACTGACGGGAGGTGCCGCCTGACTGACTCTCATGATACGACTGCGTATGCCTCATTGAGGTATTTCGCAGACTGTCTTGGAAGTATGAAGTAGAGGCCGACTCTGACAATCGGTCACTCTTCTTCTGCTCTAGCAGTAGCCGAGCGTCTGTGTATGTTTTCCTCGACCCGTCCGCCTGAATATGACGAACAGGTTTCCTATTTCCTGGAGTAGGAAAACGGTATTTTGTGAAATCAAGGGCAGTCGGCTCCCGCTTCCTAGATTTAGGATGAGGAGTCGCCTCTCGCCCTTGAACTGGTTTCCTCTTCAGTGAAGTGGAGGGTTTCTTAGCCGACTCCTCCTTGTCCAGAGCAGGCGGCTTCTTGTTGATCAACTCTTGAATTTCTCCCTTGAAGTCCCTCATGAAGGTTATGAGTTCGTTCCTTGTAATGGGAGCAGATCCATCAGTCGGCTGCTGCCGAACAGGCGGTGCGCCTGCTGGCTCGCTTCCTGTTTGAAGATGTTCCCGTTCCCTTCTTTCGGTATGACGGGTACGTCGGGCCCTTAGGGTCCCGTCTGAAGCTGTGTGAGCTTCAACTTCAAATTCATTCTCAGTATCGTGGTCCGACTGAACTTGAGGGTCGTCTAGGGGACGCCTCTCTTCAGGAGTCGGTACAGACTTGGATGCCATCTCAGAAGTACTCTCCCCACAGACGGCGCCAAATGTTTCGGGGTTTTCTGATGTCCTGCGGGAGAGTTACAATTCCGAGACTGGAACCGGACGCCTGTACCTGCAAAACAACGGAGACTCCTGGTGGTGGGAGCTCCGCCTCCAACGGTCAAGTTAGTACTTGATTAAGGAGTAATTAATGCGGAAATTAAAGTGATTGGGTCTCTCTAGGTGAGAGTGTTTAATGTAGGTAATCTGCTTTGTTAGCGTGATCAGCCTGTTCTCTCTGTCATCCCCCCCTTAATGAGGATTAAGGGAGGTATTTATAACCTTAGAAAACGTGTCAATCCTAGGTTTAGGTTAACCTAGGGCTGATTGGGCTTCCCTCGAAAGTTGGGCCTGGGTGGCCGGTTTCTCCATTAGGCATGGAGTATGCCACGTGTCATGACATAATAGGTCCAAGGTGGACGAATAAGCGCGTGCCACGTGGCAAGCCTTGACAGTTCCAACTGGGGGACACTTGGCAAGACCTGATTGGCCCACGTGGCGCATTCCGATTGGTGAGAGCAAAATCCCCTAATCAACTCCCTTCCATTGTACCCCACTAGAATTTGTTCATCAACCTATGTATCTCATTTTAAATGATATCTGGAATTCGGAACATACTCATGATATATGTCGGTATAGCTTGAATAATCGCTTTGAGTATAACTTCCTTACCCAGTTTAGATAGGAGCTTCTCCTTCCATCCGCTCATCTTCTTCCAAATTCTCTCTCATAATCCCTCAAAAATGGCCCTTTTTTACTTTCCGATGATCGTGGGAAGACCCAAGTATTTCTCATGCATGTCGATTTCCTTCACTCCCATTAAGCTAATGATTGCTTCCCTTCTATCCGTTGGGACTCTTTTGCTAAAGGCAACTTCAGTTTTATCTAGATTGACGATTTGGCCTGAAGCTCGTTCATATTTCCTGATAATATCAGTAACTTTCAAGCATTCCTGAGTGTTAGCCCTGGAAAACAGTAGACTATCATCCGCAAAAAATAAGTGGGAAACTCTTGGGGCCGCCCTGCAAACCTTGGCCCCATGAATATCCCTGTCCCCTGCAGCTTTAGATAACAGACATTAATAAATTATTATTAATTATTAAGTAATGATAAAGAACTAATTTGTTTAATGAAAAGCCAAAAGTCAAAATCAAAAAGCTAGTAAGACTAGCTTTTTGTTTTTGGCGGAAAAGCTGGCTTTTCAGCTAGTTGAAAAGCCATTTACCAAACATGTATTTTGGCTATTTGACAAAAAACCAAAAGCCGATAAAAAAGCCAGCCAAAAGCCATTTATCAAACAAGGCCTTTATTACTTCTCCAATTTCTTATAAAACTCCGTGCATGGAGAATTTAAAACGGATGGAGTGTTTTATTTAAGTTAATTAATTGACTAAATCTATGTCTCAATCAAAGTATATCACTTATTAAAACATATAGGAAGTATCTCGTTTATTAGCAAAGATATACTCTAATTTCAAGTAAATAAAGACAAACTTGTATTTATTTATTTTTTTTGACAAGAAGACTTGGTTTCACTAATAAAATATAGTCAAACGACACTTAATTCCTAAGAAATCAAGAATTCCAACACAAGTACACACCTTAAAACTAAATACATCGTAGATTTGATTAACAATCGCCTTATTAAAAAAACTTCATCTGAAGCAATACAATATGTGAGTTCGCACTGATTCGGCTTGAAATCCACTGATGCTTAGTCATTTGAGTGAAAATACTCATGTGGTCCCCCGGATTCTGCTAGAAATTATGAACCCTAAATCTTCAATTCTCGTCATACAAACTTAAGCAAAAAATAAGCTTAAGAGAAAAATCATCATCTCAAGGATGAGATCTATTTATTGAAAGCAATTAAAAGGATTTTGAGGCTCACCACCGGTAGTAACATCAGTAGAACCCCCTATAGAGATTCACAACTGAGACCTATGGAGAAAAAAAGGGAGAAGAGAGAAGAAAAACCTTCAAATTTTTTTTTGAAAAAACCTAACAATGAAGGTTAGGAAAATCCTCCCAAGGAAAAACCCCTAGAGGGAACAAAAAAAACCCTGGGAAAAAACCTAGAGGGAACCGACCGAGATTAAAGACAAACTTGTATTTACCCCTAAATAATTTGCAAAAAGAACACGAATACAACTCAGCGCTCAAGTCTCTGATGAACCATAAGTATTGGACTAACGCAGTCCATAAACTATCATCTTGCATTCGAACCCAAACACCTAACACCAAAAATGTCATTGATGCTCGAATCATCAAAACGGGTTTTGACCCGAATACAAGCCGCACTAATTTTCAGATTGAAAATCTCATCAAAACGGGTCAACTTTCCAAAGCACACCAACTGTTCGATGAAATGCCTAACAGAAATATAATCTCTTTGAACACCCTGATTTCAGGTTATGTGAAGTCAGGTGATCTTGTTACTGCAAGACAATTGTTTGATGGAATGTATGCGCGAACTACTGTGACTTGGACCATTTTGATTGGCGGTTATGCTAACCGTGGATACCCTTTGGACGCTTTTAAGCTTTATGATGATATGTATAGGTCTATGACTATGCTGGATTCTGTTACTTTTGCTACATTGTTGTCAGGTTTCGACGATAATGATTGTATGTACCAAGTGATTCAAGTACATGCTCATGTTGTGAAATTGGGGTTTAGTTCAGCTCGTGCCGTGTGCAATACTTTGTTGGGTTGTTATTGCAAGTGTCATTGCTTGGACTTAGCTTTTAGGCTTTTTAATGAAATGTCAGAAAGAGATTCTGTTACTTACAATGCAATGATTACTGGGTATGCAAATGTGGAGTTAAATGAAGAAGCTGTTGATCTTTTCCTGACAATGCAGAAAATGGGTTTCAGACCTTCTGAGTTCACCTTTACTGCAGTTTTAAGTGCTGCTGTTGGGTTAGGGGACTTATTTTTAGGCAAGCAACTTCATGGTTTTGTGGTAAAAACAAATTTTATTTGGAATGTTTTTGTTAGCAATGCATTGCTTGATTTTTATTCGAAACATGACCATGTAGAGGAAGCCGAGAAACTTTTCCACGAAATGACTGAAATCGATGGTGTTTCGTGCAACATTATCATAACCGGCCATGCAAGGGAAGGGAACTATGAGAGGTCTCTTAATCTTTTTAAGGATTTGCAGGGGACAAAATTTGATAGGAAGAATTTTCCCTTTTCTACTATGCTAAGTATTGCTGCTAATACACTTAATTTGGAAATGGGTAGACAAATCCATTCCCAGTGTATTGTGACAACAGCATCATCAGAACTTCAAGTAGGAAATGCACTCTTAGACATGTATGCTAGATGTGGACAGTTTGAGGAGGCTAATTTGATCTTCCAATCTCTCTCACACAAGGACACAGTCCCATGGACAGCAATGATATCTGCTCTTGTACAAACGGGGTACCATGAAAAAGGGCTTGATGTATTCATCAAAATGCGCTGGGAACATGTCAACCCTGATCAAGCAACCTTTTCCAGTATTTTAAGGGCTACTGCTAGTTTAGCCTCACTCTCACTTGGAAGACAGCTGCATTCTTTGGTGTATAGGTCTGGATATTTTTCCAATGTGTTTTGTGGAAGTGCATTGCTTGATATGTATGCAAAATGTGGTTCTATGAGATACGCTATCAAGACTTTCCAAGAGATGACTGACAGGAATATAGTGTCGTGGAATGCCATGATCTCTGCCTATGCTCAGAATGGAGATGGTTATGGTACCATTGGGTTATTTGAGGAAATGGTTTCAAAGGGTCTTTGCCCAGACCCGGTAAGTTTTCTTAATGTCCTAACTGCTTGTAGCCATTGTGGGCTTGTTGATCAAGGAATGCGGTATTTCAACAATATCACTGAATTGTACCATATGGAGCCTAGGAGAGAGCATTATGTTACTATGGTTGATATCTTATGCCGAAGCGGACGTTTTGGACAAGCAAAGAAACTGATGTCTGAAATGCCCTTTAACCCAGATGAAATTATGCTTTCATCCATTCTGAACTCATGTAGGATCCATAAAAACCAAGAGCTGGCAAAAGAAGTTGCAGAACAGCTATTCAAGATGGAGGTTAGAGATGCCTCTGCTTATGTAAACATGTCAAATATCTACGCGGAAGCTGGTCAGTGGGATAAAGTTGCTGTGGTGAAGAAAGCAATGAGAGAACGAGGACTTAAGAAACCACCTGCTTATAGCTGGGTGGAAATCAACCACAAGATGCATATTTTCTCAGCAAATGACAAGTCTCATCCGAGATGGGAGGACATTAGAAGGAAAATTGAGTCCTTATCGATGAGAATGGAAGAGGAAGGTTATAAACCAGATACTAGTTGTACCCTTCATAACTGGGATGAAGATACTAGAGCAGAATGTTTAAAATACCACAGTGAACGCATAGCTATAGCATTTGCATTGATCAGCACCCCTGAAGGTTCACCAATATTAGTGATGAAGAATCTAAGGGCTTGTTCCGATTGCCATGCTGCAATCAAGATCATCTCTAAGGTAGCTGGGAGGGAGATTACAGTGAGGGACTCCAGTCGATTCCACCATTTCAAAGATGGGCATTGCTCTTGTGGCGATTATTGGTGATTATTGGTGAGTATAATTAAGTAAAAAAAAATTCAGGTTGAATTTACATTGCTTATGGTCTATAAAATTAAGTCCCTTAGGCCTTGTTCTTATCACCCTAAAAAAAATAAAAGTTAGGAAAAATAGTTTGATTCACGGCATTCACCAATAATAGTTTTAGATTTGTTGTCATAGAATTCTTGAATTTGGCTATGTTTTATGTTTTTTTATGCAGGTGGTTTAGAGTTAGAACTTTTCAATAGGTTGTAAGTATCTTGTCTCAATCTCCAACGATGCTTGCTGAGATGAGATTCTTGATTGTTAGACCTCTGTTTCACTGCCAACAAAATAATCTTGAATTTGCATATTCTGAGCCCTTCTATGTGATTGTAAACTTGAAGACATTAGGTTTACAACCTATATTATTCTCCCTCGCCGCTCTTTAATAGACAACATATCTATTTTGATATGCCCAAAATATTTTATGAAATTTCCAATTTGATGTGTTTTATCACAATCATATGCTTATTCTCAATAATTTTTTAAATTATTAAGGGTGTTTAACTGATTATGTGGTACACCTACCCAATTTCTCACAGATGACCTCTAACCACAGGTGGTCTATTCAAGGGTGGCAGTGGGAGTATACCTTTTTTTTTTTTTTTTTTTCTGTTGGGGGGGGGGGGGGGGGTGGAGGTGCATGGGAAGTTGATTGGGGTATTTGGGTAGCAGAGAATTCAATATGGGCTTTGTCCGGAAATGTTAAAAAATTAAGAATATCATAGTTTGTCTCTTGCTGGCAAGTTACATTTGAGAAGTATAATGATTTGTTTTAGTTATTCGCAATTGTAGAGGATTGTAAAGATCTTGAGAAATCGATTTTGTTCAGGATTTTTTTTCATGTCGGATAGAATACACTTCATTAGCTCAACACTGCTGCATTTTGTGGTCAAATTATTCTGGCTGACAATGTAACTAGATTAAATGTTATTATTCTCAATTGCCATATTATTTGTCTCACATAAGGTACGTGGCAACAACCTTTGAAAACTCTAGTTACTCACTTCTTTGTGTTAGATTTAACGGCTTTTTTCAGACTTCCCCGTGAGACTTAATATTCCCCACTTCCCCTCTCCCCCCCAGATAATTATGAAAGTTTAGGTTTTCTCCCTTCCTCATTTTTATTTTGGGATGTTATAGAGCATTTATCTTCTTTTCCCGTTGTTATTGGCGTTGTTAAAATGGTTATCACTAATACTACTGTTGGGTTTGATCTTTAAAGGCTTTATCTTAGAATGTGTTTCATTTGGAACTAATACTATTACTGACTATGTAGTACCTTTCCCAGTGAATTTGAACTACTCCAATCTGAAATGATTTTTGTTGCAGTATGATGAGTTTTTCAAGAAAAATGAACTATAAGAGTATGACTATGATGTCTGTGAAGCAATTCTACATTGGTAACAGGTTAAGTCTTTCCTTTTTTGACAATTTATGCATCATGGTTTTGGAAATAATGTCTAATACAATGTTGAATACTTGAATATTACAGTATCTAAATGTCACAAGAGAACATTTAATTGTTCTTCCAGATGGTTGGTTAGACTATGCATCAAAAAGGAAAGTCAAATTGCAAGATTCTGAACTTCTGAAATGTACACCTATTTTTCATCATTTCTCCATAAGTTTCTCTTGGCCTTTGTTGCAGATAGATTGGTTCACTTGCATGAAACTGGTCCCTTGTTTTAAATTGTGTTTTAAATTGTGTCAGGGGAGAGAAGAAATGTTATAATCGATATCTTTATAGTGAGCTTCCATGGATATCTTTATGGTGAGCTTCTCAATCCTATCTTACCTGCCAAACCTCCATTTCTTCTCGGTCAATTTAAAAATAATGTGCTGAAAATTTTGGATTTTTTTCTTCAGATGAAGAGATTGACAATCATGATGCACTAATTAGAGATAAATAGGCTCCTGTTAATGGTGTGAATCTAATTTTGAGAATTTTGTATTTGGATGAGTTGATTTGGCCATGTGGCTATATTGCAGCCAGCAGTTTTACTACCATTATGGGCTCCATGCCTCTTGTGTAACTATGTGTATTACTTTTTGTCTTTGACATCTTGTGTTTCTTTTTGAATGAAAAGGAGAATAAGTTTCATTTAAGTTGTAGAAGTGATTTTCAAAGTGAATGCTATGTGATGCAATTACCAGAATATGAAGAAAATCTATTATCAATATTGGAAAATTAGTCTAACGTGTTAAGTTCTCATGTGTTAATTGGATGGTCAGACAACCATGCACATGCTTTTTAATGAAATATGAATTTTTTGTGATTGATAAGCACATTTCCCTTGGATTACATAGAATGTTCCAACATATGGAATGTCTCCAAATATTTGTGCTAATTTCTTTTACTTTCTTGCTTTCTACTCTTTCTTTTTCTTCACCTTAAGAGCTATCTCACCTTTTTATATAGGATTAATGCAGTAATATGCCAAACATGTCGGTATGAAGCAGACTTTTTGCCTTGTAGTTAGAGGCATCACTTGTAACATGATCAACGTTCTAGAAGGGGCCTGTAAGTAGTCCATTTTTTGCTTCTTTAATCATTTATGGTGCACTCTATTTACCTATTTTTCACTCATTTAACTTGATTAAACTTAGCTGAACTTATTTTAATTGTAAATTGAACATAGTTAGCCTTTGTTAGGCCTTATTTGAACTTATCTTATCTGAAGTATTTTTTTTCCTGAAATAAGAATAAGGAGAACAAAACTAAGCATTAGTATAATTTTATTATAATTATGAATTCGTGAAATTTTATTTCTATAGAAACTAGAAAGGAATAGGCTAGTTAAACAGAGTTTTCAGGAAATTGGAAAAACTTCCATCAGGGTTTGGTGTAAAGACCCCTGTACATGATTATTACAGACCACACTTCTCAATTTCTCATCTTTACAAGGATAAACTAGGCAAGTAACCCTTTACCATTCCAGGTCCACCTACACTCTTACTCCAAATTACATTTTTGAACTCTAAAGAGGTGTAGGCAACAGTACAGATGTAACCCTCACTGCAAAGATGGAAATAATACAGAAAAATAAATGGCTGTATTAGAAAAAGAAGTCCTCCACTCTTTCCTCCGGTTGGGTAAATGGAAATTGCTATATTTCTGTTGAGGAGTGGAACATCACACGTGACTCTTACCTATTTTTATGTTCACAGCTGAGGGAAGTGTTAATCATAATAAGTGTGACATACAAAGACTTCAATGAGATGATGTAATAGACTAGCTTTAGGAGGGGGCACTTTGGGAAGTTTAATATTATTAAGTTAATAGTCTTTAGCCTTAGTATAAATAGAGGGAGAGGGGAAAGGAAAAGGTAGGCAGAAATTTGTATTGAGGGAAACCTTAGAGAGTCATGGCCTAAAGCCATTTTGGAGAGTTGTGAGCTAAACTCACTATTTGAGAGTAATAGCCTTAAGCTATTAACTTATCTTTTGTAAACCTTTTGCCAATTTCAATCAATATCCAACCTTTAATCTTTATTTACTAGCAATATTAAATCAGAATTATAAACCCAGAATTTCAGTTCATCACAGGTGATAAAGGCGATGTTGCATTCTAAAGTGTTAATATGATTATGATACCTACTTTGATACTATGCTGCTAGAAGTGATTGTATATTTGTATTTGGCATGGGTTGTTGATGATTCAGAAAATACAAGTTTATCATAGTGATAAACAAAATTTGTTTACCATTTGATAAACTAGGACAAGCTCGTTGATGAGTAGTGTGAACTTTGAATATGATTTCGAGGTCAGAGAGAGGGGTAGAGAGTCCAAACCCTAGTAAAATATATCATCTAAGAAGAATCTGCATGAATTAAATTTAGATTTTTGGAATATATCAGCTAGCTTGACTAGGTTCTGAAGTATCAAGTTATGTTTAGTCTTGCTAACGCAGGAGATTATGTGCTGGCAATGGTTATTATGCTTTTCATGTTTTGATCATTATACTAATTATATATTTATCGCCTTTTTTGCTGAAGACATCGGATACAAAGAGAGATTTATAGTCATTGAGATTTGAGAATTATTTGAAATTGCTGTATTTTTTCCAGACATTTAGATATTTAACAATCTGGCCTTGGCTCACTGAGCTCTTGACTTCCTATGATCTTTGATTTCTTTCAGAATTCAGATCAATTCTTAAAAAGATGTATATTCATTTGCTTTGATTTACTGATTGTGTCATATGTGATTGGATCAAGGAATGGCATACTATCAGCTACTCGTGCCCGTGGGTTTAGTGACTCACTTTAGTAGATTGTTCTGGTTAGAAGAAATGTTGTATAACAATTAGCACTTTGTTTGGTACAGGTGGTAAAAGGGAGGGAGACTGGTCAAATTATCCAAGTCAAGATGCAATCAAAATAGCTTATACTGCAGCTATATGCTTGAAATAGATGGAGCCTGGTCAGAAAATTGTTGGACGGTTCAAAATTTGCAATTTCTGGTGAACAGGACTCTTATATACTGCTTTTAATGGGCGATCTTTTGCTCTTTAGACATGAGTAATATCAGAAAGTTTTCAAACTACAGTAAGTGGAGATTCATGCCTTTCGAGAGCCTGAGGAAGTAATCACAAGAATACTAACAGCAAATGGAGGAAGGCTTCTGTTTATTTACGACAGGCTTTGATATTTACAGAATAATTGATATTTAAGCCTACGAACTCCCTTTCTGAGCCATTTGTTGGTGTTGCTGAATATAATATATAGTATGTCAATGCAATCCTTGAGTCTTGTGGTGCATCTGTCACAAAAATTAAGCAACTGGGAGGCAAATTTTGCTGCAGATTTACTCTTCCGATGACTGATTGTCCTGTGAACCTGTCCTTGTTACGCAAATTATTATTGTTATTTTTGCTGATGTATTCCTTTGTTCCTTTTTTTATTTTTCTCTAACTTCAGTATAAATGGAGATTAAAATATTTATGGTTGTAACTCATTTGAAAACAGGAAGAATAACCTAGATCTTATAATTACATCATACAAGATTGATATCCGCTTCTCAACTCTAATCTACATAGTCAACAATCTCAACATAACATGTCCTATGTCTTAATGTGACAATCTGAAACAAATTGTAATGCCAACTTTCCAACTCTGTAAGGTTGAAATCTTGTAATCTCTTCAATGGGACAATGAAAATAAGTCATTAGGTTAGCTTTTAGCCCATTTGAGTAACTTTTAACCTATCTTATGATAGTTTACTTAATAATTTTTATTGGACATTACACGGTAATTCTAAAAGATAAGATAAGAGCATGAACATTGATGGGGATTTGTATCCTTTTAGCTAACTTTTTTGCTGGCTAAAAGCAATAACATTGGTAAGGATATACATCCTTTTAGGATTCTTTTTCCCTTGGTAAAAGGATTCTAAGAGCATGTATATTGATGGGAAATTTAGCTCCCCATTTGACATAAAGTAGAAATGAGGATCTTCCGGATTTTTTCCCAAATTGAGCTTTATTGGTAAATTATTTACGAAATTGGTCTCGTGGCAAAAGTATTTCCCAAACTAAGCTTATGGGGTGAAACGCTGTCTCGGACAGCGTTATACACCCAGTTTTTTTTTTAAAAAAAATTCAAGTCATAAAACGCTGTCTGAGGCAGCGTTTTATGGTAGTTTGACTTTTTTCTCAAACTTCGTATTTCATACTTTTTTTTATACAGGTAAACGCTGCCTGAGGCAGCGTTTATATCTTTAAATGAAACGCTACCTCAGGCAGCGTTTATTGTACAGCATAAAACGCAGCCTGAGGCAGCGTTTTTATCTGTACAATAAACGCTGCCTTCTTGCGGGGAATTAAAACGAATTCCAGTGGCTTTTTTTCTCAATCTCACAAACGCAACTTACACTCTCTCTCTCACTAACTCTCATTCTCACAAACAAAGAACCACTGCCCTTGCCCCTGCCGCCGCCAAAGTGAACGAAAGTTGTTGCCGGCATTGTCTCACTCACTCTTTAAATCCGGGTAAACCCTAAATTCGTAGTACAATGTTGAATTTTACATTGAATAGTTGGTAGTAGATAGTTGTTGTATGTTGTAGCAAATTGTGATGTAAATTGTATTAATTTTTTGCTAATTAGTAATGAAATGTGATAAATTGTTGATAATTATTGATGATAATGTGGTACATTGTTGAGGAAAAATATAGACGAAATTGTTAATTAAATTGTCGACGAAATTCTTGATGAAATTGTCAATGATAATGTGGTTTGTTTTTGATGAAATTGTTGATGGTAATGTGGTCTATTATTGTGAAAATAATGATAAAATTGTTGATGGTAATGCAGTATTAGTATGTTGATAGTTGTATGCAGTACTAAGAGTTAATGAAATTGGTGATGAAAATGTTGATAGTGAATGGACTTGTTTCATTGTTGTCATATTAGCTACACATGTAGGTTCTCGAAATTTGATATAACTTTCCATTATCAAAGCTATGTATGTTATGTATTGTTAAATTAGGGTTTTTTTACGTTGTTTTAGAATTCGATTATCCTTAAAAGTGTTTTGGTTGGTATGTAGAATATGGCTTCACCAAATGTAGTGTTGTTATGCCGGTGGGGAGGTGAAATTATGTGCGATGGATCAAATGTTGAGTACAGTGGAGGGAATATGGAACTTATAACACTTGAACCGAACATGACTGTGAATGATCTGATGAATGAGGTTCACAGTAGTATCGGCTCAAACCCAATGAATGTTGAACTGAACCTTAAATGAGGTGTGAGACTGGCCATGGGGTTCAAGTGTTACCTGTCTCTACAAACAAACATTTAAAAGCTTTGAGAAGCATTGTTGCAATGAAGGGTGTTCCCAATGAGATATATGTAGAAACAGTGCCTCTATGTACCCAACAAAGTACTTGGGCAAAACAACATCCTACATATGTCTCCGATTACAACACCGCGTCCTTCCAAGGCCCTTCAAACCACATTCCATCGAATGAATATGGGATGGGAACTTTCAGTCGCTTGCTGCATGACGATCAATTTCAGATGTCGTTTAGTACTCATATAGGTTCACCGGTTCATGCGGGGGGGGGGGGGTGTGGGACAATGTTCGGCCAATCCGGTCCTTCGATATCAAACACCGTGGCTCCGTCACCGATGCGAGATGAGGTTCAAGAATCACCGTCTCAAGAAGACCCAAGTCATTTTGATAATATTGTGAATAACGAATTGTCGGTGTACGATGTGTATGCGGATACAGATGATGAGGACGATAATGTGGAGGAGGATGATGAGCTTGATGACCGGGGCAGCTGGACCAGGACGATCAGTACGTTGCGTACGATGCTCCCCCGCTCCCTGAACCCGATCAGGCATACAGTTGTAGGTTCGTAACATTACACTTGTGTTGCCGCATTTTGTTTTAATTAGCTAGTACAACTTCTTAAATTATTTGTTGCCAAAGGTGGGTGGTTCCCAAGCTGACACATGCGCATACAACAAGAGGTCTACTCTACTACCGCGACGCCCTCGACCGACTCACGGATGAACAGGTGGAATCTTGCAATAAATTTGTAATCTTTTGTTTACTCTTTATACTGTTTATTGGCATTGCCCTAACCTATTTACGATATTTCCTTATTGCAGATGACATGGGATCCCTATTCTGCTGTGTTGGTAAAGGCCATGTTGGAACACTTGCTCGAGCATCATGCTGAGTGGCTTGCCAGGACCCCCATGATCTGTTTCGAGGTCGTGGAGAGTCACCTACCGGACCGAGTGTTGCGACAGTTCGGACTTCACCAGCCTATCCCCATGGCCTGTGACACTAGTATCCGCCTCCACGGCATTGACCGTCATGGAAAGTTGGAGACAAACTGGGCACAGGAGCATCATCAATTCATTAAGCTTTGGGACCAGCGGTTGGAGTCCGTTGTTGACGGTCACCTGTTTTAGGGTTTTATGGATCCGCATGATCCTTACATGGTATGGTACAGGCAGATTACATGCCTTTTCATCAACCCTACCTACACGCCACCGTCCACGCACTACCATCCAGCTTATGATGTTATCAGCGGACTTGTGAGTTTATTTCATTTTCTTGTTTTCCAAAATTATTTGAAATTCTATATCATATTACTAAGTCATGGATGATTACTGCAGGCGGGGGATATGGGTGCGATGGTTGATGCACTTTCAGATGCCTTAGCAGCCGTACCCACTAGAGCCCAGGTCGAGCGGGTGCGAGATATGGGCATATATAGCTTGCAGAGATATGGCCATGGACATCTCGTCCACCCCAGGGACGATCATGACCCCAACTCCTTCCATTCACAGTTCGACTTCGGACAGAGTAGTGGCGCAGGTGATTACCATTCACAGTTCGACTTCGGATAGAGCAGTGGTGGAGGTCATAATTCGGTCTCTACATAGGCAGAGGATTACTTCATCCATAACACCGCTCCCGGCCACACCCAGTTTGACTCATCGTCTCGCCAGCTAACTCCTCCACCGTCCCGAGACCCATTCACCACCATTCAACATTACACGAGGCGTCCGAGGCGTGTTCGTAGACAGACGGAGGACACAAAGGATGGAGATCAGTTAACTCCAATACATGAGTCCGGATAGTATTAGTTAGTTGATCTTTTTGTGGTACTGAGATATTTAACAATGTTGTATATAACGCTTACATTATTAATACAAGAAATGTTTTTTAAATGACTCTCTGTACAATTTGAAGTTTATTTCCCTTATTTGTCCGAATTTGACTTTTGTCAGTAAAACTATATCTTTTTTCGTCGTGGAAATGTTGGGGCTGGTGGTGGGAATGCTCTAGCATTGTTTAGGGTGTTTTGCATTGCATTGGGGTGGTCGAGAGTGGCGGCCGGTGGTGGTGGGGGAGGTGGTTCATGGTGGTGGGGGTGGTGGGAATGCTCTAGCATTGTTTAGGGTGTTTTGCATTGCATAGGGGTGGTCGAGAGTGGCGGCCGGTGGTGGTGGGGGAGGTGGTTCATGGTGGTGGGGGTGGTGGGAATGCTCTAGCATTGTTTAGGGGTGTGTTGCATTGCATAGGGGTGGTCGAGAGTGGCAGTCGGTGGTGGTGGGGGAGGTGGTTGATGGTGGTGGGGGTGGTGGTTGATGGTGGGGCTGAGGCTGATGCTGCTGGGTGAGGGTGATGTGTAGGGGCAGCAGCAACTGTACAGGAACAGCAGCAGATTGCAGAAATAGGAGCTGGCTGCTGGGGATGCAGTCTAGCAGAAAAACGCTGCCCCAGGCAGCGTTTTATGCTTTCACATAAAACGCTGTCTTAGGCAGCGTTTTATGCTTTCACATAAAACGCTGTCTCAGGCAACGTTTTACTTAAAGCATAAAATGCTGCCTGAAGTAGCGTTTTACAGCCCACATACATAAAATACGGTATTTTTTCCAAAATACATACCAACAAGTCAAACTACCATAAAACGCTGCCTCAGACAGCGTTTTATGTCTTGAATTTTTTTTAAAAAAAAAAAACTGGGTGTAAAACGCTGTCCGAGACAACGTTTCACCCCAGAAGCTTAGTTTGGGAAATACTTTTGCCACGAGACCAGTTTGGTTAATACTTTGCCAATAAAGCTCACTTTGGGAAAAAATCCGGATCTTCCCACCAATGGTACTAGCTCCCCATTACTCACTTTTATTTGGGGAGGTTAATAATATTGGAAGGGTTCCAATATCAAAGGTGGAGTCCCTTGAATGCATTTGTTTGCCACCAACATCAAACAATGCCATTTTCCTTTTTTTTCAATGTTTAAAAAATCAAAAAAGCAAAATCAAACTTCAAAATCGTGTTGCAACGGCTACTTGATCAACGGACACCAACGAGTACTTGATCAGTAGTTTGTTTATTTTGTTTCCAACGG